TTTCAGCCTAGTCTACCTCACAGGGTTGTTGTGATGACCATGTACATTGCCCTGTGCTTCTTGGGAGAAGGGTGGGCTAAATATACGGTTGGTAGGTGGTACTAGTGTGTGTATGTAAAGTGCCGTCAAGTCGTAGCTGACTCACGGCGACCCCTCATGGGGTTTTCGAGGCAAGAGATGTTCAGAGGTAGTTGGCCATTGCCTGGCTGGGTGTGGCAACTCTGCACTTCCTGGGGGGTCTCCCCTCCAAGTACCAACCTGCTTAGCTTCCGAGATCTGACAGGAGTGGGCTAGCCTTGACAGTCCAGGTCAGGGGGTACCTTGTGTGTGGGCACAGAATACCTTGAAATGGCCCTGGACAAGCCCTGTATTGGCTGTGCATAGACTCTCCAGTCCTTTCTTCATCTCAGCATGGCAGGAAATTGGGGGGGGGGGTTTCTTGGGCTGAGCAAAGGGGGAAGAGGCCCAGTTCACAAGCCTTTGCCCCAGGTAGCCTGGGCCATCCAGTCAGGGCCCTGGAACTAGCACTCCTGTTGTATTGTTAAGATAGCTGTTAACGCCGGGCTGCTGTGAGTTATGTTTGGATACCAGCCCGAACACATGCCTTTAAACAGCTTCATGTCCAGATGGTATGCTTCACATTACAAGAAGATATTTTGTTTGCCTCTGTTACGGACTGCATAAATCATACTTGCATGCAATGTTCCCGCTAAGCTGTGGAGTCCTGTGAGCAAAAATTCTACTTTTTGAGCTACTGGCATTAAAGTTGTGAGCGAGCGATTTGGCTGCTGCATAAATTACTTTGCATTGGAGCCATCCTTCCTGAGCTAAGGCAAGAATGTGTGAGCTGGAGGCTAAAAAACTGTGAGCTAGCTCACACTAACTCAGCTTAGAGGGAACACTGCTTGCATCTTAAAAATGCAAAGCCCTGAGGACAAAGATGGTGTCTCTGTACCGGGGTAGGTTTGCCAAGTCCCCCCAGGGGAGGCCCATTCCCCGCTGCCGGCGGATCGGGCCCCGGGGGGAACTCCACCCCGACGTGCACGTCGCCCAGAAGTGACGCGGGCACACCGGGCACGCTGGGGGCGGGGCCACGGTCATCCGAGGGAAAACTCTATGTCCCCCACTGTGGCTGAATTCACACTTGGCAACCCTAACCAGGGGTCCCTAACCTTTTTGCGCCTACAGGGACTTCGGGGATTCTGACACGGCATGGGGGGCACCGCCACAAAAATGGCTGCCAGAGGAGGCAGGGCCAGCCACAGAATGGCTGCCACAGCTTACCTTCATAGAATCATAGAATGTTAGAGTTGGAAGGGACCTTGCAGGTCATCTAGTCCAGCCCCCTGCACTCTGCAGGAGCACAGCTGAAAGACAGCCCTGCAACATACCCGAAAGAGGGTCGTCCAGCCTCCGCTTGAGAACGTCCAGCGAAGGAGCATCCACCACTTCCCGAGGCAGACTGTTCCAATGCTCCACCACTCTGACAGTTAGGAAGTCTCTCCTAATATTTAACCGGTATCGACTCCCTTGTCATTTCCACCCATTAGATCTGGTCTCGCAATCCGGAGCAAGAGAGAATAGATCCGCTCCATCTTCTACATGACAGCCCTTCAGATACTTAAAGACCGCAATCATGTCCCCTCTAAGCCTTCCCTTTCCCAGGCTAAACAGACCCAACTCTTTCAGCCTTTCCTTGTGACGATCCTGGTGGCATGGTGGCAGCTGCTGCCCAAAAATCTGAGGTTTGGCTGGACCGAAACCCACCTGGCTGCACCCACTTTCTAGAAACACTTGGCAGGTGCCAAGGAAGATGTTAGCTGGCAGCACAGTGTCCAGGGGCACCACATTGGAGACCCTTCATTAAATGATTTTCCCTCCTCACCAACCTGATTTAGGAAAAGGAGGCAAGGAGATGTTTAGTTTATTGGCTAAAGGCGGCCACCAAAGGCCAGTATGAAGTGACCCGGTCAGGGGTCATTTCGTAGAAAAAGAGCTAGGGGAACTCATTAGCATAACTCATTAGCATATGCCACACCCCCTGACATCAGGGCCCTGCGGTGGACCTGCAAGGCCAGCGGGAGTGCGAGGAAGCCCCGCCAAGGCCCTCCTTGGCCCCAGGCAGGCAGGGGTGGGGAGAGGCGGGGAGGAAGCAACTTACCCTCCCTCTTCTCCTGCCTCCTCCTGGCTGAATGAGGGCTGGAAGCGGGGCGGCCGGAAGAAGGGGGCAGGGCTTCGTCATGTGCGTTCCCCCGCATTCCCCCCCGAAATGACCTCTGGACCCGGTTGCCCTTCCGAGGAAGAGCCGTCTTTTGAGAACATCAGAAGGGCCCTGCTGGATCAGACCGGGGAAGGTCCATCTAGTCCAGCATCCTGTCTCCCAAGGTGGCCAACCAGTTCCCCTGAAGAACAGGGCATAGAGGCCAAGGCCTTCCCCTGATGGTACCTCCTGGCTCTGGGATTCAGGGGGTTAGTGCCTCTGAATATGGAGGTTCCCCTCAGACACCACTGAGAGATTTATCCTCTGTTAATCTATCTAATCCCCTTTTAAAAGCTGTTTATTCCTGTGGCCAGCACAACATCCTCTGGCAGCGAACTCCACCCTCTGTGTAATCTAGTATTTTCTTCTGGCCATCCTCAATCGATTACCCATCAGCTTCATTGAATGCTGGGTTCTCCTTTTTTGAGGGGAGAAAAATGTTTCGTCAGCTCTCTCCACCCCATGCATATTTTTTTTAAACCTCTATCATGTCCCCCCCCCCAAGTCGTCTCTTGTCCCAGCTGCAAAGTCCCAGAGACTCTTCAGCCTTTCCTCACAGGGAAGGGGCTCCAACCCCCTCAAAATCTTTTGTCTCCCTCCTCTGCACTTTTTCCAGCTCTGCAATTTCCTTTTGAAGATACAGTGACCAGAACTGTACAAATGAGGCTGAACCATAGATCCATACAGGGGCAATACAGTATCAGCCATTTTAATTCTCAGACCCTCTCCTAATCGTCCCTAACACAGAGTTTGCCTTTTTCACCGCTGCAGCACTCTGGGTCGACACTTTCCTTGAGCTATCCACTAGTACCGCAAGATGTTTTTCCCTCTCAGTCCCACCAAGGTCAGACCCTATTAGCCTACACCTGGAGCTGTTTTGGGGGTTTTTTTGTCTGAATGTGCATCCCAGAAGCAGGCCTGTAGTGGGGCCTGGCCCTCTCACGTTTCTTCTGGGCCATCTCCCTCCCGGGCTGTCCCCGAAGTGCCTCAACTCGCCACCTCCAACCTGGCTGACCTGACAACCAATGTTCCCTCTAAGCTGTGGGGTCTTGTGAGCAAAAATTGTACTTTGTGAGTTACTGGCAATAAAGTTGTGAGCGAATGATTTGGCTACTGCATAAATTAGTTTGCTCTGGAGCTATTCTTCCTGAGCTAAGACAAAAATGTGTGAGCTGGAGCCTAAAAAACTGTGAGCTAGCTCACACTAACTCAGCTTAGAGGGAACACTGCCGACAACTGAGCTCCTTGGGCACTCCAGAGAAGTGGACTCCTTCGTCACCCAGAGCTCCCTTCCGACACTCCCCTCCCCTTTAAACTCAGCCCAATTGCCGCCAGCTCCTGCCGGCTTCTCTTCCTCACCATCCACCACAGGACCGGTCTCTGTACTCCAGCCCGCGCCTGCTTAAAAAA